ATACATACACATACGTACATATATATCGTATATATATATTTATTTATTTATTTATTTGATTATATCAGACATTACTATAGTAAATATTGCGTACCTGTTTGGTGTCCGTCGGCTACGACGTACACGCTCCACAGATAGTCGACGTTGCTCTCGTCGCATCGTGGACAGATGGCGCTGAACGCAGGCACGTCGTCGTCGTTCACGTAGCCGTTCTCGCACGCCTTACAGTCGACGAGGATTCTAGACAAGCGAACGTACGACGTAGAGTTAGAACACAAAATCGATAACAGTTTTACCAAATAAAACAAAATGTTAATAAAAAACAACAACAATAAAGTGACAAAATTCATGAATCCCTAGCAGACATGGATTTTTCGGGGCAGGAACGCATGCAGCGCAGCGACACATATTCAATCCACAAAAAATGAAGCAAATAACGTAACGAAACGAAATAAATTCCACCGAAAAAAAAACATTTCAAACAAATTTACAAAAAAACGACAAGATTCGTGAATCCCTAGCAGATGACACGATCAGCATAGAATATTTCGCGCGCAAAGGCGACATTAAGGGGAGCTTACGCAAGGGTCCCCGCCGCCGCCGCATCGTCGTTCAGCTGCAGCAGCTGTGAGGCGACGCGAGATCTCCTCCCCGGCTTCTCCGCCGTCACCTTAACGAGGAAGCTGCTGTGCTCGGACGCGAACGTCGCCGCGGGCAACCGCAGCACGGGGTCGGTGGCGTTGCGTGGCAGTTCGTGTCCGTCCCGGAAGCAGGGGGCCGTGGGCGTGTGCAGCGGCTGGCAGGTCCAGCGGTAGCTGCGATGAGGAGGTAACAGATACAGGGTGTCAGCTGGCATGAGTCGACAGGTAGCGATGACATATATACATAAATATGATGATGATGATGATGATGATGACGATGATAATAATAATAATAATGACGATAATGACGATAATAATAATAACAATAACAATAATGACAATAATAATAATGATGATGACGATGATGATGATGATGATGATGATGATGATAATAACAATAATAATAACAATAATAATGATGATGATGATGATGATAATAATAATAACAATAATAATGATGATGATGATAATAATAATTAAAAATAGTAATAATAATGGCAATCAATTATATATATGCATTATAAACAACAGACTACTCCACCAATAGCCAAGGAAAATATAGAAGTAGAGACAATTTGTAGCTGGCCAGCCCGATTGTTGTGAGTGTAGCCAAAGCGTGCAAAGTTCAGCCGTAGCTGCAAATTTTAATGCGACAAAACGAACAGCCGCTGCCAAAACCAACTACAGGTCACGCGAGAGATATACGTGAGAGGCACAAGATTCTCTGACCACTTCGTACCTCCCGAGCTAGTGCCACACGCAATACATCAACGCGAGAAGAATTAGTACGAATAACAACAACGGTCAACCACAGCCGTGCACGATATATCACTAGAAAAATTTGCAATAATATAACATAATCAAATGTAAAAATAACTAAACATTAATAATTAATTTAAAAATGATAAGATTAATGTCGTTATAGATAAGGGTCGTTCACAATTATCAACATTTTCGCAAGAGTACAAAACCGTACGCTGGGGGGGAGGGGGTCAATGCCCGCTGTACACTTTCAGCATTTCTGAAAAATTGCGATCCATTTCCCGCGCCGCGCGCCACAGCTGGCATCGCACACATCCTCACACCGCGACGCGCTGAGCCCCGGCCGGCCCGCGCCCTGCACAGGCCCGCGGAACGAACGAACCTAGCAGCCAAGTGCTCCGTTATCCGTGTATCCGTGCCCGTCATAACAGGATTTGCATGTAATTCATATACATGTATCTCTATGTAGAAAACAAATCAACAATTTTCTTCGTACACTTTTAAGGGGGAGGGGGGTGTCTTGAAAAAGTGTACTCTTTGTACACTTGTGAAAATGTTGATAATTGTGAACGACCCCTAATGTAATCTAATAAGTAATATTATAACAGCAGCAGCAGCAGCATACCTAAACGAGGCATCACGGGGGAAGTCGGGATCGTGGGACGCCGACGCGTTCAGTTCCAGCACGTCCTGTCGGCTCACGTTCCTCTGTCTGCCGCCGCCGATCACGCTCTGTAGCGGCGACGCAACGACGGAGAAGTTAACCTCCGTCATCGTGTAGACAAATGTACCGTTCATCTTAACCTGAAACGAGCAAAAAGAATGGTATATATATATTATAGATATATAAAATATATATATATATATATATTATATATTATATTATTTATTATTATGGTATAGACTATATTTCGTAATATATTTTTTCCAGATTGAGCGTTTAATTCTGAGCAATAATTTCGAAATAAAAGCTTTAATGCTTCGCGTACTTCATGAAATGGCACGTCACTATAACAGCAGAATATAGTCTGTCCACTCTCTAATAACGCAGTTGTTATACACATACAAGTACATGCAGCGTCACATCTCCACATCTACCGATCTAGACTGTCCCCACCTCACCTTCAGCATGGCCCTGTAGTCGCCATAATGTAGCAGGTTCTTGTCTAGATACAGCACCCTCTGTTGGAGCGTGGCTTTATCGAGACCCGGCGGGGATAGTTGGGAACTGTTGAGTCTGTGATAGAGCGACCACTGGAAGTTGGCCACCTCGGTCATGCTGCATTCGATGGTCACCACAGGCTCAATGACAACACTCGTCGCCCTCTCAAACTTCAGGAAAGAACGAGCGAAACAGATGCTTGGTCAGTCAGACAAATAGATCAACAATCACATACGGCGATGAGAAAGCTTGACCGAATAACGCAACCTACGGTACGTTTCGTGTAAGTTTCGTTACATTCTCATATTAAATAAAAGCAAATGTAACATAAATACAAGCGTACAACATGAGTACACGATGAGTATTTTCTACGCTCCGGTTTATAATGCAATTTACAGCTCACTACAGAGGTTAGGTAAAGGTTTGACTACATACTGTGAAGGAAAGAAAAGTAAGACAGAAAGAGAGAAAGAAATAACGTACATAGTGCAAATTATATGTAAGAATACAAGATGGTTACGCTGCAGTTTACAATGGATTTACAACTTACTTACAGAGGTTAGGTAAAGATTTGACTACATACTGTGAAAGAGAGATGAGAGAAAGGAAGATAGAACGAAAAAAAGACAGAAAGAAAGAAAGGGATTTACAACTCACTTACAGAGGTCAGGTGAAGGTTTGGCTACATACTGTGAAAGAGAGAAAGGAAGATAGAACGAAAGAAAGACAGAAAGAAAGAAAGAAAGAAAGAACGTACATAGTGCAAATTATATGTAAGAATACAAGATGGTTAGTTTCTACACTGCAGTTTCTATAATAAATTTACAACTCACTTACAGAGGTCAGGTGAAGGTTTGGCTACATACTGTGAAAGAAAGAAAGGAAGATAGAACGAAAGAAAGAAAAAAAGAAAAAAAGAAAGAACATACATAGTGCAAATTATATGTAAGATTACAAGATGGTTAGTTTCTGTGGTGTAGTTCATAAGAAAAGTTTACAACTCACTTACAGAGGTCAGACGAAAACGGACAGCACAGGACAAAAATAAAGAAATACATCAATAAAGAACGTACATAGTGCAAGGACAGAGGTCAGACCTAGGTTTGTCTACATACCAGGGTGCAAAATTAACGCGAGTCCGGAGTCAAATACTCCCTGATTTACTGTCGGACTCCCTGAAAATTCTGCTATACACTAACTAGTTTGTTCCAGAGCACAGCCTCGCGGAATTACCATCCTTTTTCAGCAAATGTTCAAAGAAAATTTGGCAGACGTACAACCGCATGAATCTTCAAAATAAGCACATGCGTTATCTTTAGTTTTGAACTTTAGACTGCGGACTCCCTCATTTTGCCGTGGACTCTTTCGACATTTTTCTGTTGGCAGAGAGTCTGTTGGACTCCCTTGTTCAAAAGTCAATTTCTACCCCTGACATACCGTATGGTGGCTACTGTCTGTGCCAAGCAAACCAAAGCTGATCGCAGGTGTTTTACAAGGCCTCTCCACGACAAACAGCGTCAGGGTGGCCTTCGCTGTGCTGATGTCGTTGTAAGCTTTCACGGATACCTCATACTCCCCGATTCTGAAAACAGAAACATGGTTGTAACCTACATTGACAGGGGTGCTGTATTCTTCCTAACCTACTGAACATATGACTTGCAGGGGTGTTCTATTCTTCCTAACCTACTGAACATATGACTTGCAGGGGTGTTCTATTCTTCCTAACCTACTAAACATATGACTTGCAGATGTGTTCTATTCTTCCTAACCTACTAAACATATGACTTGCAGGGGTGTTCTGTTCTTCTTTACCTGTCGAACATGTGATTGACCAAGGTGTTCTGTTCTTCCTTACCTATCAAATGTGTGATTGACCGAGGTGTTCTGTTCTTCCTTACCTGTCGAACATGTGATTGACCGAGGTGTTCTGTTCTTCCTTACCTGTCGAACATG